GGAAATATTACTAACTTTATTAATTTTTATATTTATCAGTACCGCAAAATAATATATGTGGAGACTTACAAGCAGATTTTTTAAAAAAATCTGAGATTTTTCATCATCCGGGAAGAAAACGGCAGTTTTTTTTTTAAAAAAATTTAAGCTTAAAGACTTTTAATGCGAGAGCTCAGACGGTTTATCTAATGTTAAGTAATAACCGCCACCCATGGCATTTTCAATAATCGTATGGTTGCAGATGACCGCATACGTTACCCGCTTTTAATAAGGTGGGGCCAGTTACCTCACTTACCAAACGAAACGCAGAAATATTACTGTTCTACTTCACACCGGTGTTCTGTGACGTCGTGATACTTGCCTGGACGGACCTACCCATTCGTGCAATAGCGAAGACTGTTGCGTGGCCCTACCACAGTTATCATTACCGTCTGCAAATATGTATTATGAATATGATCATTGTAGCATAGTTTATTATCGAATGACAAAATTCTAAAGCAAGCTGTTATTAATATAACTAGCATTTGACTTCGAGTATGGACACTATACATTCACTTCGGATTCATTCCATTCTGAAAACAACTACAACTTATATAACAACTCTATTTAAATCCTCCTAATCCGTCATTAGCCGTTATAATTCCTTTTGCAAGTTTTAGATCACAATTTTTAAATAATTCAAACCGTGGGGTAACTTATAATGGGGGTCTTTAATAAAACGGCGATAGTTGACCTTATAAAAGTTGTATCTTGCATCGAGTTTATTTTTAATAAATTTATTCTGCCCCAGTTCGATCTTTATATTAAGAGGAAAATGGTGATTATCAGCGGTAGTTAAAATTTTCGTTAACTCATACTTGTGTCGTCAAATCTGTATTAACACAATTAAAATGGCGAATATCTAGTGCAATTACCAACGACAATTTATTCATATCCCGTTAACGTGTCTACTACAAACATTAATCTTGTACACTGAAAATATTTGGTGAGTCTCTAGTGGCTTACAACCTCTCCTACAGCCACCCCAAGCCTCGTTAAGTGATACTGAATCTTATCTGGTTACTATCTTGTCCGCAAACGGTGCGCGAGCCTCGGTTACTGAATGCAATGTTACACCAGATAAAAGATACTCCGATATGCAATATAACTGACTGGCCGACGCAGCCCGCTTGCTCCGACTCCGACAGATAACTTCGAGAGAGCCGACACGACGTCCCAAACGGAGATCACACTTTTATATCTCTCTGAGAAATATTGCTCATATTAAATTCACCTCCATATAAATGTATGCTCCTTTTTTTCAATTATTTTTGATGTTATTTTGAGTCAATCACTTTCAATAGGAGGTTCATTGTGATCTTAGTTTAGAGTGTTTGTTGCTGTTTAATATAACAGCAATGTCACAGCAATAAATGGAATAACTCTTTTGTAGTATTATTCTCTGCCCCCACACAGTCATATTATTATTCTAAAATACTTATTATCCCTCTATAGAACAGTAAAACACAAAACCTGGTGAGATAACATCAAAACGGGGTTAACATGTGCATAAGTGGGCCAAAATATATGTAACGTTTTATAGCAATTTCCAAAAACATTGTCATTGGGGCCATGGTCGTGACAATTCTAGTAATACAGCTAATAGCTAAAAATCTCTTCTGTCCTTATAAAGTTACCCAGAATTGAAAACGAGGTAAAATCAAACCAAGTAACTAAGATAATTTAACAACGGGTTCTCGTTTCATTTTGAAACAAGAGAGCCATAAACAAACTACCCATTGCCAATGAATCATTCTTACCTTAATCACCACGAATTATATGGTATGATTTATTTATATAATTATACTTCAATAATTTACAGTACCTGGGTGTTTCTTTTTTGGTAAATCATGTATTTTGGAAATTACATTTAGATACAAATTACTAAGTAATGAAATATGCATAATATGTTTCGATCTTACCGACGTAATAATAAGAAAATATGAACTGGTGTTTTTCACAAAAGAAAGAACTTTAAAAAAAAAGGGAAAAAAATAACAAATTAACAAATCGACAAAAAATAACAGATAAAGAAGGCAATGATCTGGAATCGAAAAAAAAGTAAAAAAATTAGTATGTAAATGATCGTGATACGAACCACGGCCTTCTGTTTCGTGGCTGTTTGTTAGCGGCCGCCCGATTACCGACCGAGCTATTATAACATTTTTTTTTTCGGTGAAATTTACCGTTGTATTCGAATAAATATTTTTCATTCCCTGAAAAGTGGGATAAAACGACATTTTCTAAAAATGAAACCTAGTCAGATAGATTTTTCGCCCCCGAATCTACGCACATACTAAATTTCATGACAATCGCTGGAGCCGTTTCCGAGATTCCAATTATATATATATATATATATATATATATATATATATATATATATACAAGAATTGCTTGTTTAAAGGATAAAAAAATAAAGTAAGAAAAAGAAACATTAAGTCAGAAAGATATCGCTGACGTTTATGAAATATTTAAGCCATGTCAACGTCTTTTCGCTAAAAGCACTCTTTCGAAATTACCGAAAGACGTCATACTCATCATCTGTCAGTTTCGAGACACCAGAGAGAAAAGCTCGCTTTTTATTTTAGCAAAAAGTAAATCTTGAATTCGTACAAATTGAACAATGACATCCGTAATTAAGGGAATGGGACTCTGTGTCAGTTTCATGCATCAGTTACAAGTAAAATTTCATGCATCAGTTATAAGTTTATTATCAAAAATAAATGTAATGATAGTATATATTAACTTAATTATTACATCGCTTGACATGCCATAATAACATATTTAAATTTTTTGACATAAACAAATTAATCTCCATACTATGTCTCAAGATACCGTGTATCTGCCAACTTAGACAAGCACAAGATTGCTTACTTTATTAGCAGTACCTGGAGTACGAGCTTTGCTCGGTTTGTTTTTTCTTTTGATATATCGTGTATTTTGGAAATTACATTCAGATAGAAATTACTAAGTAACGAAATATGCATAATATTTTTCGATCTTACCGTTTTTCACATAAGAAAGAACTTTAAAAAAAAGGAAAAAATAACGAAATAACAAATCGTCAAAAAATGAAAGATAAAGAAAGCAATGATCTGGAATTGAAAAAAAGTAAAAAAATAAGTGTGTAAATGATCGTGACACGAACCACGGCCGTCTGTTTTGGGGCCGCCCGATTACCGACCGAGCTATTATAACATTTTTTTTGCGGCGAAATTTACCGTCATATTCGAATGATATTTTTCATTCCCTGAAAACAGGGATAAAAGGAGATTTTATAAAAATGAAACCTAGCTAGATCGATTTTTCGCCTCCGAATCTACGCACATACTAAATTTCATGACAATCGCGTTTCCAAGATTCCGATTACATATATACAAGAACTGCTCGTTTAAAGGATAAGATACATACAATATAAATAATAACAATCCAGTATTAAATAGATTGTTTATTGATACTGAAGCTAACACTTTTCTAGTAAAGTAAGGCTAACAAAAGAGAAAGAAAACATTCGAACTATTAGTTTGCTATATCAAAATATAAACCGTTTCTCTGGCAAGATCCTTAATGTAGAACTTTTAATTGATAAGTATAATGTAGATAACTTGTACCTTACTGAGACATGGCTCAATGATATCACTTTTAGTATTAAAAATTATTCAGTAGCCTGTAAGTTTAACAGAGTCACACATAAAAACACTTTGAAACACTTTTAAAATGTAAAAGCAAATAGTCATCTGTGGTGATTTCGACATTGATTTACTAACAGATTCACCGGATAAAGTAAGATTCCTATCACTTCTTGAACCTTTTAATCTTAATTACATCTTCAATGAACCTAACATACCTGTAATCCTGCGTCTCATGCATAGATAATATAATAGTAAATTGTAAAATTATTAATCAAGTAATATTGAATGGCGTTAGATCAGATCATAAAACCCTTAAAATAGACCTTCACATTAATAATAGGAATAATGTTGTATTAATAATTACATAAATGAATGTAAGCTTGTAACTAAAAACAGAATTAAGAATTTCAAGGATAGTATTAAGTATAAACTACCTTTACAAAAATTAACCCTTAATGATCCCGTTGGCGATTTCAATACCGATAGGCAATAAACTTTCGTTCAGTGAATGGCAGACTATGGGAATAAAAAAGAGCAGGGATAGATTTTATAATCTGTACAGTATTAAATCACTAATTTGTGATCCTAACCTCCATGAACATGTTAGGAAGAATTTAGAAATTTTTATAGGGTCTGTATTATAGCTAAAGCTGACTTCTTGAGTATTAAATAAAATTGTCCGCAAACAAAGATCAACTTAATACACTGTCAAAGATGCTATATTTTTTGTATACAGTAAAAAAATTAGGCCGTCGCAGGACGCCTGAAACAAATAAAAAATAAAAATGATTATGCTACAAAAACATATACCGTTTTTAAGTTTTAACGAATACTCAGCGGACTCACGGAAAAATTTTCGGACAAAAGATTGTTGGCACCTTCGATACCAATATAAAAGTACAACCAAGCGCGGATCCATCACAGATATCACAACTCCGAAAAGACTGCAACTATTCGAATCTTTGATTTTTCGCTACCGTGTGAACACCCACCTGATTGTATTTTTAAAATCGAACACTGCAAAAAACTTTCAGGACAATGCCGTTTGAACGTAGCCGTTAACAGTATGTCTGACCTGCCGCATTGTAGGTAACATACACATTAATAATCTCGTCTCTGATACCTTTCTTTTATCTATAGCTTACCTCTAACTTAGTAAGGCCCTGTCGAGAAATTGATAGATATTTTGACTAACATTGACATAGAACTATTAATGGTTCTAATTTATAAAACTGTTCTCTATCCAATATCTTGTTTCGGAGGGTAATCGTACTCACTTGTAGTAGTTACGCGGTATACTGTATCAAATAACAATTTTAAATTATACAGGTGGTTCAAGAATACGAGAGAGCTGTAATCTTCCGTTTGGGTCGCCTGTTGTCTGGAGGTGCCAAAGGACCAGGTAAAACCAAACCCATACAGTTGATATTATAATCGATCGTCGATCATAGAGAAACCGAAAAAATTACATTGTAACTCTTACCGATTCGCCTTATACGAAAGCACGCATTAATGTATATCAGCATTATATTTAGATGAATATAAAATATTTGGTGTGTGTATGTGTTTGTGTGTGCTTGTTTATTATATAGTTTCAACAATTATATGACTTTTTATGATATTTATAACAACATTACTTATAAATTAATTCATATTCATAATTTTAATTCAGTCCACGTACGTAAGAGAGATATTTGCAGTAACGTAATAATAAATGTATTAATTAATAGCCCTTTCATATATGTACTTGTTACAGGAATATTCTTCATTCTGCCCTGCATTGATACCTATGCCCGCGTCGATCTGCGCACCTTGACCTATGATGTGCCTCCACAAGAAGTAACTTAATTGTTTAACATCACTTTGCAGTACACAATAGTCGTGAAAATTTTTTACCGTCTTATCACCCTCAGCATCAAAATTTGTGCCACTTCAATAGTTAGCTAGTTAGTTAACCTAGCATATAAAGTCTAAGAGACGATTGTTAATACTCTTTTTAGGGTTCTGCTCAAAAGGTAAAAAAGGAATCCTTATAAGATTATCCCCGTGTACGTCTGTCTGTACGCGTGTCACCGCTGATTTTCACCACGGGTGGACCGTTCCTGAGAAAACCGTAGAAAATTGATACCAGATACTGGGGTCTGTAGATCCTGTTAGAACTTCACCATAGTAGATTATTATTGCATAGTTCATCGATCATCGCCGTGTTCACCCACTAATTCCAAAGGCCTCTGATGGTGAACATATCGTGATCTACTAGACACAAGATTTCTACTATTAGAAAATCCGACCACACAAAACCCATTAAGATAAATAAGTGGATGTCGAACAGATGACCCAGCCTTTAAACCGTCACCTTATTGACAAACATAAATTTCAAAATTATTAAAATTACGTGATCTTTGTATGATAAACTATTGATAACTAAAAGCAAAGCAGCAAAATTTTGAAGGTACGTTTCATACGATTAAAGGATATCCGTGCAAATTCGTTAAATCGTTTTAATGCCGTAGGTACTGACTAAGGACTCTGTCACCGTTTCCGTTGACGCGGTGGTTTACTACCGTGTCCATAACGCCACTATCTCCATCGCGAACGTAGAAAACGCCCATCACTCGACCCGGCTCCTGGCCCAAACGACCCTCCGCAACACAATGGGTACTCGGCCCCTCCACGAGATCCTGAGCGAGAGGGAGACGATCTCAGGCAACATGCAAATTTCTTTGGACGAGGCAACCGAGGCTTGGGGCATTAAGGTGGAACGTGTGGAGATGTAAGTGGAGGACAACATCGTTTTCTAATGAATTCACTTTCCGTGCGTTGATATTTGTGGATAACTGCAGCTAATTAAAAACGTATAGCACGGATGGGCAGGCTCGTTTGGGAAAGTACAGGTTGCACAGAAGACCGGCGAAATTGAGAGCTTTATACTTTGGCACTGCTTCCGGTGAATAAGTTACTCGGGGCATATATTTTTTTAAGATTGGCAAGGCATCTGCAACCCGTCAGATGTAGATGTGGGTAATTACTTAATATGACCTAAACAGGTTGCTAGTTTCTTTTTTTTTTTTTTTTTTTTTCATTTTATAATATATAAATGAATTACATATATAGGTTAATAGCTCAATTAACGCAAAGCCTCAGGTTAGAATTTCGCAAGGGATAAATGTTAAAAAGCTTAAATATCTGTATTTTACAAATATAAAATTTACTAAGACCCATATATTTTTATAACGGCTTTATTGGCTTTGTATATTATATATATCGGCTCTGCCACACAGAATTTCACTGCACAGATTGAACTAATCTATATCTAATCCAATTAATTTATCCTTAAACTAAAATTCATGCAAAACACGTGAAAAATACGCTGTTGGCAGAAATAGTCTTATTCTTTACACTATTTATCTTTACACCACAGAATACACGGTTAAATTTCAACAGTTAACTTTGAACACCTATCAGTTGTTCTCTTCGAGTTTCTTAGTGAAAAGAGTTGTCACGTAAATTTCACTTAGGCGTACGCTGAATTTGCGAAGCAATTAATAATATAGTCATGTGTGATAATTACTAAATTATTGTGACACTTAATTAATGAACCAACACAAGGGTTTATTAATAAAACTTCTTGATCTATATGTATCTTTATATCGTTCACTTTATTGATTTTCACCATTTCATTCCGGTAGTAGTAGTACCGTTTTCAATTTAAAAACTTACATTTTGTAAAGTGAAAACAAAATACTATTTATAAGTGTGGGCAAAGTTACAAAATAATATTACATTAATCACATATACATAAAAATGACCTTGTAAAAGCGATCCGATGACAATTTTGATACTAGACGATTACATTGGATTGATGTGTTCGAAAGTAATGACGCGATTAGTATATTTTCTACGGCAAAAAATAACATATGTACATAAAATTTCTTATTCTCTCATATGTACATAATATAATTATTATTATGGAGAAAACACATCTACCTTTACCGTGAATTATAAAATTATGATAATAATGAATAAATAATATATTTTCAAATATTTCCAAGCACAAAGGAATATATATTTGAAATGTCCATGGGTGGCGGTGACCACTCACCATCACGTGATCCGCTTGTTCTTTTGCTTCCTTTTCCATAAAAAAGAAGACAAAAACAATTTTATCCTATGTTCGTATTGTCAATTATTGTTATTTCAATATCGATTGGCCATTTACTTGCTACGGGCCGGCTACTTCCGTAGCGTGGGAATTAGGACACTAGTGAAGTAAGGCTAAGTGAATTATACATGATGTGTGAACCTGAAATTAATGTAAACTTTCAGAATGTGTCACGATCTTTTAACGTACCACAATTTTCGCATTTAAACAGTAAATTGTTACGACTACTAAACAAATATTTTCCCCAGTAAAGCTTTTTATGTAAACTACCCGCGGTTGTTACTTAAATAAATAATTTCTAGACACACTTTTTACACAACTTGATTTAGTCTTATACAGTAAAACTCGGTTAGGTACTATGTAACTGATAAAGATACTTGAATATAACTTTCCTTGTGTAAATAAATACATATTTTAGGTGTGAACACCCTTTTAGGTATAGACGCCAGAAAACAAATTTTCATCACACGACAATTATTCCAGCATTAGGGATCTAACCCGTTCCCTCTGACCTTATATAACTTCACTAGCTAATTTTTAAGTTACACAAAAAGTAAGGAATTAACTAATATCAAAGCGAAAACTGTACATATACGAATTTTAAAAAGAATCTGAAAAATATAACTGAACCTTCTTCACCCAATAATATAAGGAAGTACAACGTATGAAGTGGCGTAAAAATGTAACTTCGAGTTTGTAATGTTAATAAACATTATTAGAAGTCTTATAAATCATGAAGTTGTAATAAATTTTATATACCGACATGTATTCAACATATTTTTCTCATTATAAGAATATATTTTCTCATTTCCCTTTGTCTACAAACTCTTACAGCCTAGTTCCTAATTTTGATTGCTATAATTCATTCATCATTGGACGTGGTTGAGGCCGATATTGATCGATTTGGAACAATTAAAATTAGTTGTTGTGAAATATCATTAAGACACCATATGAAACAACTAGCTTCTCGCCTGCGGCTCCACCCGAATGTACTACATTTTATATCGTGTTTAAAAAGCACCTACGGAACCGAATCGAACTCGCACTTGGTATATTTTTTAAATTTATATAAACTTACAGTCATAATTTTATAGACCATTATGTATTTATTATACATGGTGGCTTTTCTAAGTGTATCCATTTTTTTTACTAAATTCTAGACATAAATAATTTTATATAAAAAATGATAAATATTTAAAATCGTAAGTAATCTATCGTAAGTATCTCGTAAGTAATTGTTTACATTCATTTGAACTTGTGCGTAATTTAAACCCAACTCATTTATTTTACGCGCGATCATCCATAACTAACAGGCACACAAGTTCGTGCACGGTAAAATTTAAGTAGTATTTATAAATGACTACCGCATTGTCAACACGGTCTGTTTATTAGGGAATAGAATGGCAACTTCTTTTTTGGAAAAAAAAAATTTATATTTCAATAAACAATTATACTACCGAGTCTAATTATACTACGTCCTGTGTAAATTTTGTCACTTCTCAAAAAATCTCCCTGTATAATTAACTGTAATTTCATCCAACTCAACTGTAGCTGTTATGTAGCATTTTATCGCACAAATCTTCAATGTAGTTCTTTAAGTTAATACAACTTTAAAATTTTTGAACCGATTAAATAAAACTAACACAATGTTAAGTGAAGCTTACTACAATTAATTGATCAATGTTGTAACCAACGTAGGCTTCGAATGGGTGCAATGTATTACATATATAAACCTTCCTCTTGAATTACTTTATCTAATTAAAAAAACCGCATCAAGATCTGTTGCTTAGTTTTAAAGATCTAAGCATACATAGGGACAGACAGACATCGGGATGACTTTGTTTTGTACTATGTAGGAATACTTTATGCATTGCAGAAAGGATGTTCGCCTGCCGATACAACTGCAGCGTGCAATGGCAGCCGAGGCTGAAGCAGCCCGCGAAGCTCGCGCCAAAGTAATCGCCGCTGAGGGCGAGCAAAAGGCTTCCCGCGCCCTACGCGAAGCGTCCGAAGTCATCGGTGACAGCCCCGCCGCATTGCAGCTGCGTTACTTGCAGGTTAATACGATGCTTCGCACGATACGATACGATACAATACGATACAGTCGTGATCTAACGTTTACCGATTAACATGGGAAGCGAGCTGGCGGTTCACACCATTTTAAGTGATAACCGCCGTCGATGGACATTTTCTACACAGGATGGAAGATGCGCAGACAGGTTTTAAGTGGACCCTGGTTACCTCACCAAACAAATACCATACATTCACTTCACGTCAGCTTTCTATAAAGTAGTGGTACTTATCCAGACGGACCTGCCCGTTCGTGCAACAACGAAGACTGTTGCGTTGCTCTACCACAGTTATGGTACAGTCGTGTTCTATCATTTATCGATATTTACTTTCAATAACAGCGATTCACATCGATAAAATTAACAATTTTGCTGATATTATCGATCACTTTTTCTTTTTTTAACATTGCCTTTACTGTAGGATTATCTTGTATGGTTTTTAATTGTTTTATGGTCCTTTTGGTTTAATTAAAACGAATAAATTGCAATTATCCCACAATACTTCACAATCGATCGATTGATACAGTTTAACGTATTGCAGACCCTGAACACCATTTCGGCCGAAAAGAACTCTACCATCGTGTTTCCACTGCCCATCGACCTCCTTACTTACTTCTTGAAAGCCAGGGAGGCGTCTTAAACATGTTATCGTGACATCCACTGTGCAACATAACCGCTGTCGATGAATAATAATAGTTTCAATGAAAACAAACACCGACAGAATGTAGAAATTATTAAAAATGTCAGCATGCAAGGAATAAACCAAAAAAATAGCGTAGTTGTTACAGCTTGCTTTATATATCGTTACATTTTCTTCTAATAATATCTACTCTATGTAACTAAGCACAATTTCAAATGATATATCAGTTATAGGTATATGATGATAACAATATTGTATAATCCGTTAGTAAAATATATGTAGATGCAATGAAAAAAATAAATTTATTCGTTTCTAACCTGCAATAAGAAGTTGTTTTTATTAACATTTATCAAAAGAAACCCTATACCCTACAGAAATATATTTCAGAATAATAAGTAGCGTGTTAAGTATTTCTATTTGAGAAAGTTAATTTTTAACTCTATAAGAACTTCAAAATCTCCGTTTGTTCTTCTTTTTTGTTATTTCTTCAACTGGTTTCTGCATATTATTCAATTCTAAAAGAATAAATACGCTTGAACATTACATTTTTCTTTACACAAAACAAAAAGTAATTAGTTATATAAAAAATCATGAAAGTGAAATCATAATTATGAAATGAGTACTGGATTATAAATTTATAGATATTGTATATAAATGAGATTGTCGAAATTTGTGTTTTTAATATTACTAGTATTAAACTAGTACTTTGTTTTTGTTTTCATTACATGGACTTACAGTTATGAAAAATCCTGCTATTTCTTTACTGCTAAAACGGAAGATGTTATATCGTACACATAACTATGAACTTACTCCTTATCGAAGGACTATTAATTTCGTTTTCTGTGTTCCAGTTAAAAGATTCGTCTGTTTTCCACGCTTTATTATCGTACGGTGTCCCTACTTCGGCTAGATCTACCGTTTCTATACCTATAATTTCATTACTTATCAACTTCATCCCCAGATTTAGTTTGAAAGAAACTGCTCCATCTCTAAACTGGATATATATTTTTGATTGGTTAATTATCCTTAAAGTAAAATATTCATTTAACTTCAAAACTTTGAATCGTATTTCAAATGGCTTGTAATTTATGGGTGCTTTTTTTGAAGTTTCTTTTACTGAATTATTCAACTCAATCGTATACATATCCTTATCAAAAATCTTGGAACTTTCAATTATATTATTTTGTTCAGATGTTTGTATTAAATCCCTTAGACAATCATCGGTTAGATCTAAACTTTTTTCTTCAATAACTTGCTGCAAAACAGGTGGGTCATTTAAGGCGTGCCATTTCCAATGTGCCCATGGTCCAACCTTTTCATCCAATAATACACCTTCACATTGATTGTACTTAAGCCTAAATAAAAAATAAACGAAATAATAAAAATATAGTATCACATTGACGTTTTGCTTCATACTCACCGTACAAAAAAAATATATTTTATGGTAGTTCAAAGAGTCTCTAATTTCGCTAACCTAATACTTCCCTGCCGATTATATACGATAGCATGTCCCCTCGTGTCAAAGTTAGCCAGTATTGAGTCTCCTTTGCGTAATTCTTTTCCCTTCTTTAATTCAAACGAGTCATATATTAAACATTTTTCAGTCGAAATTTCTGAAAAAGAAAATATAGATACTCGGCCTATATTGCCTTCGTACGTCTCATGCTTGAATGCAGAGTACGAGGCAGCTCAGTTTTATATAGTAGTTTCATTAAAAATTTGGTCATACGCTAACTAAAAATTCAAATAAATACCTACTGGCCAAACTAAGATTTTTATAAAAACATTTTATATAAAATGTTAAATAATATTGGTGAGCTTTCAAAGCTATTCATAACCAATCCATTAAAGTAGCCTTAAAATGTGTACATCAAAAACAGCAAATGATGTTAACACGAATATAGAATTTAACGCTAGCTCATTGAGTGTTAATAATAACAGTTTACAACAACAGGTCGTTAATTTAGGTATTAAATCTAAAGTTCAAAACATGCTTGCCTCTGGAATTATAAATATACAAGGCTATGCTGCCATCCCTATAATACCATCTTACTTGTCCATCATCTCCTATTTCACATAATTTTTCACCAGTGTCATACTGCATATATTTGTGACCCTTATATTTGTCAAACCAATCGAACTCGGGGTGCGATGGTGCCATCTTGTAAACATTCATCTACGAGATAATATATTTAAATATAATATTTTGTAATATAATAACATTCTAAAATTTCGTAGCATTTTTTCAAATCTCACCCGTCGCAGAATTTTAACAGTTGGCATAACAGTCCAACCATCATCGATATATTTTTTGTTTGAAAGTTGAAACTTAGTAAAGCTGTTATTACTGGGTAACTGTGAACCATATCTCATTTTTACTCTCATAAAAATAAAAAATAAAATCTATAGAAACATTTTCACATTTTCACATCAATTTTTCTACATGTTTTAATAAAATCTATATTAAATAAAAGATAACTGAAACCGAAAGTTGCATGGGAGAAGTACTTTTACATCTTTACGTGGAGTCTCTACTAAACAAATTTAATTTGACACAGATGAGAAATGTTACAACAATATTTGGGGCCTAAATCAATGAAATGTTCACATCAATAGGGATGTAGACGAGCAAGTCTGTAAATATTGGTCTCAAAACAACTCATTGAGACTTTAAGCCCTAGAGTGTCAGAAACCGCCATCTCAACAAGATAAATAACAGTAAATTAAAACTTTTTGACCCATATAATGCAAAACCAGAGTGAATAAGCCATTTCCGCATGACAGAGCTTTTGATGCCCTGCAGTAAAAATCCTGGTTTAACATCTTTTGATTTTTTCATATGTGAGCCCCGCAACTTAAAGCAAAGCTGTTTGCTATCGTAAAATATCAATTCAAACAATGACTCTCGGACGGAATCAATGTGTTGTTGCATAATGCTCCAGATTAAATGAATATAAAGTAAGAAGCGTATGGTTTCCAGTAGAGTATATGGCCTGTACTGTATTTTTTTAATCATTATACTACTTACCTCAAACGAATTTCTTACCTGTTCTAAAACTCTTGATGACCTGTCTTTCAAATTGTTATCTGATAAGTTTGTTGTCGCATTAGAAAAATCATATCGAACTTCATAAAACAATGATCTTAAAGGGTATCTAGAGTGGCCACTTAATTGGGTCTTATCTTTTACGCGGGCAGTAATTTTATTTCCATTTATTTCTTCTATAGATTCCGACAATTGAAGATGATCACATTTCAAAATACTGGTTGATTCTTCAAGTAATGGCTCTTTTGATTCTTTGGTAGGCAAAGGTGGCAAATTATCCAGTTGTGCCATCGCAACCTTTTTTAAATTATACTTAGTATCACGTCTTTTCCGCTTCTCCTGGTGGTGGAGGATCATTTTCATGAATAGTTCAGATTTTTGGCCTGATTCAACTTTAAAGGGTTTTTTTCCCTTTCCCTTTTTTTCTCCACACACCTTAATACTTTTTTCAAATGCTCTTATACCTTTCGGAGTTTGAAGACGTGACTCCATATAATCCGTTTTTGATTTCGTTATATTAGCTACATTTTCGTTTTCAGTGTCTTTTAAGGTAAAAGTTTTATTTAAGGATACATTTAATTTTGATGACTTATTTGTTTGACCACTGCTAAGGCATACATTTTTACCCAACTTTCTTGCCAATTCTTTGCAAATACAAATTTCCCGTTCTTTGGGTTTTAATACATCTGAATTACTTCTTTCTATTGACAAGCTGACTAGTTTACCTTGCACATTATTTTTTTCAATTTTATCTATATTTTCCCAATCAATTTTATATTTCTCTATTTCTATGTCCGCTAACTGTTTTACTGCCATCTGATTCATTGAAGATGTTTTTAAAGACTCCAACATTTTTTTCAGTTCTTCGACAGAATTGGACAAAGTTTCCTTTGAGGTAATATGTTTATCTCTTACAATTGCCTCCAAGAAAAATTTTATATCATTAAGAATCTCCTTATATAGTTCAATATCTTTAAAATTTTCGTCTTCTTCCTTAATTTTACGAACAAAATATCTACATCTTTTACACCTACTCGTTGAATTTATACCTTTACAATGCTCACAAATTATATTCATTTCCTTTTTATGAAATGCTTCAAGTTTCTTTAAAATGCTACAGATTTGCCTGAGCAGCATTTTACAATAAATACAACCAGGTTCGTTGGGACCTGCGAATATATTTTTTCTTTCATTTAATTAAAAATAACAATTTGAATTTGCACTCGAATTTTTCGAAATTTCAATTTCAACTCATTTTCAACATTAGCCACATGCATGATCGTACCTACTTACAAAATAATAATAGTAGTTTTTCTTTTATTCAAAACATTTTTTGTAATAACTCAAAAACTACAACTTACTAATTTCAATCATATTACATTTTCTTTCTATCTCTGTAGGCGCTGTATTATTTTGTTTTAATCCTTCACCATATATCTTGTCTGCGATGTACTAGAAAATTATCTTATTAAAATATAAATTCATTAAGCATTTTTATTATTCCTATAAGTAACTGTTAACGTTAGGCGTATGTGAGTCCCGTCTTATCTAAACATTAAAGATCTATTTTTAAAACCTATTGTATTATTATTCTTTCACTGTTGGGAAGCTACATTATCCCTGGATGATATAGGCTATATTAAATTTTCAAACAAAACTAAGGATCTTTACTAAAACTTAAATAATGTAACCCAAAGTGAACAAAAATTATCTAAAATATTATTTGCAACGCGTGCGCTGCGAAAACTATTGATGATAGAATAAAATAATTGCAGAACACATCATTATTTACAAAAAGTGTCGCGACAGCATATGTCTAACTAATATAGTTATGCCACAATAAGACGTGTTCTTTTCTTTTAAAATTATGATTAAAATGCCGCCGCTAGAAAGACTCTTTATTTGTCTCCTTGGTTTGGATTAATCCTTATAAAAATAAATTACACATATT